GTCTGCTGCCCCCGCAACCCCGATCCGGATAAAGCGGGAGACGACAATAACATACAATAAAATATATCTCCAAGTTTACAAGAAAAAAAATGCTATGCTATAATAAAATTCAACATATCTCTTCATCTTTTGTAATTAAGCAAGACTCAGAAATAGCTGTCAGCCAACCCAGAGAGAGCCAGGTTCACAGAAAACAGACTTGAAATTAAAATATAAGAAACCAGCAAGAATTAAAGCACAAATAATAAAAATCAGTGTATAAAAAGATGTTTGAAATATAAGGTTAGATACATAGACTTCAGCTGTCAATGAAGTATGGGACGCATTTCTAAATTAGATTTTGCTGCTTGTGAAGAAGGATAATCACTGATGCAGCTTGAAGGGAAGCCAAGCATGGATGGATGGATGGATGGAAGTGAAGTTGTGTCTATATTAGGAATGCATGATATTTTGACGTTGGCATCGGATTTCGGCTGTTATTAGTCATTTTTCATACAATAATATTTTAGGCCCTTTATAAATAATGCACTAAAGGCAGGCATCTGTCTATAACTATAAATATCAGTGTACTGTGGTGCTCTTGTGTTCTCAACAATAGGAAAGCATTCAATAAATATATTTATATTATCATAATATATTTGAGCTCATTTTTGGAAAATATAAACCCTATTGAAAGCGTTCGGGTTGAGTAGCTGTAGGTCCATCAGCCACTATCCTTAGAGCATCCCCACCAAATTTTATCGCAAAGTTAGCGTCTCCAGAAATCTCAAAATGTGCCAAATTGTGCTTTTACTACGCTTTGCTTTACTATTTGACCCATAGAATAACACTGAAGCATTTTGATGGCCATAAAACATTTATGAAGCAAGTATTTTTTTACTTTTTTTCAGAATCACTGTTTATAACAAAATGTAGAATTTTTACACCTATAATAACATAAAAATCTATAAAGGATAGTGAAACTGCTGCTTTTCAAGCAAAAATAACCCCCAGGGCCTTTTCTCAGCTGTATTTTTTTTTGCCTTAGACATTGTAATAAATAAAATTAGCATCCAAACTTATAAAAAAGGACTGTTGTCGCCACTCAGCTTGGAGCTGCACGCTTTGACCCAGCCTCAGCTGTCTGTGTCTCTCTAACGCAAGCCTTTAACACCGTCCCCCTTTAAATACCCTCGGCACAAGTCGGTTTGTTTGAAACCTTATTTCACTGGCTACAAAGCCCAACAGCCCACATAGGCTTAACCAATAACAGCCGGACTCTATAACGCGTAACTGGCTGACAGAAAGTGATCATAGCTGAGATTCCGGGGACTATATCTAGCTTAAATCGCTTCATAAAAAGATGAAGACATGTTTCTCTTTTAGGTAAGAAGATTATGTAAAGAACGATACCAAACATTGCTGGCTATCAACCGAGGAAATAAGTATTAGGAGGTAAATATGTTGACAATAAGCTATGACCGGTTAACTTTTCTGATGTCAACAAAGGGACGTTATGAGCGATTTTGTCATTGTGGAATATTTTTATTACGAATATGCTGGATTACTTTTAATCTGTGGACCCTTATGGACAGATAAGTATAAACAATTGAGGATTGGATTTATAAAACGGCTTCTGGATACCTTCAAAGATATGTTTGTTTACATTTTGACATGCTGCTATATCTGTGTCAATTGTGCTTTAGTGTTTGCTGTGTCCATAGAATGAACTTAATGGTTGAATTGTGGAGAATCCAAGCTTTCCAATGATGTCTAACTTGTCTATATTGGTAAAAATTTTACTTGTGGAATTTTATGTGTTTCCCTACTTAACATCCTCCGGTGGTTTTAATGAGCATTTAAACGGATTAGTTTTAAATTTATTTTTTTTTTATTTATATTTGAGGTAGAGTGGGGTAAGACCATTAAGAGCTTTAAAAGCAAATAAAAAGGTTTTAGAACATTCCTAAAATGTACTGGCAGCAAATTTAATGAAGCTAAAATACTGGAAATATGATGAAATTTGCTTGTACCTGTTAAACGACGTGCAGCAAAAATCTGTTGTCGAGTTAAAAAAAATATGAGCGCTGAGAGTTGATATCCAAGGAAGAAAAGGTTTTATTTTACTCTGCAGAGGAGATCAACATGACCAACTAAGGCCCCGTCCACACGAAGTCAAAACGAACACGAAACGCTGATATTTTCCAAAACGTTTGTCGCAAAGACGGAGACGTAAAATAAATGTGAGC